CCCAACACCCAGACCCCCATTTTCCACCCCAAACCTTTTGCTTCCATGAACCAAGATCTCTGGGATCCCCCCACCCTACACACCCCAAACCTCCCCAAACCCCCCTCACCCAGCAGCCAGACCCCCTCGGGCCTGCTGCCCTCCATGAGGCGCGCCAGGGCCGAGTTCTCCAGCACGGTGGCGTTGGCGCACGAGCCGGGGAACTTGGCCACCACGTTGGTGATGTGGCCGCGGCGGTCGCACACCACCTGCATGTTGATGGAGTGGAAGTTGGCGGCGTTGCGGAACAGGGGCTCGCGGTCGGCCGGCGCCCTCAGCGCCACGTGCATGGCGCCCACCAGGCCCAGCACGCCAGGCAGCGCCGGGGGGTCCCCGGGGGGCGCGGGCGCGGGCGGGAAGGCGATGTAGGCCGGCGCCCGCCGCTGCAAGGCCGCCAGGAACTGCGCCAGGCAGTTGGACATGGCCGACTGGCTGATGCCCGTGCTGAGGCGCGACGCCGTCTGGAAGGATCCCGAGGCCAGGAAGGCCAAGGCCGAGGTGACCTTGACGGCCACGGGCAGCGCGTGGCTGCGCCCGGTCAGGCTCTGCAGGTCGGCGCCGAGCTCCCGGCACAGCGCCGCGATGGCGGCGCGGTCCAGGCGGCAGCGCCGCAGCGCCTGCTCGTCGCTCAGCTCCAGGAAGGAGCAGCGCGCCCGGTAAACGCGCTGCGCCGGGTACGGGCGGCAGCGGCCGCGGCCGCGGCGGGGGCTCGGGGACGGGGCAGCGGGGAGGGAGAGCCGGGAGGGCGGCGGCGGCGCGGGGTGCCGGTCCCGAGCCCCGGGCTGATGGCGGTCACCATCGTGGGGCTCGTCCCGGTGCCGTTCCTGGGGTTCGTCCCGGTGCTCCCGGTGCCGTTCCTGGGGGTCATCCCGGTCCCGGTGCCGTTCCTGGGGTTCGTCCCGGTGCTCCCGGTGCCGTTCCTGGGGGTCATCCCGGTCCCGGTGCCGTTCCTGGGGTTCGTCCCGGTCCCAGTGCTGATCCCGGTCCCTGTCACACTCCTGATCCCGGTGCCGGTCCCGGTCCCTGTCCCGATCCAGACCCCGATCCCAGTCCTGTTCCTCGTCACTCTCCCGGTTTCGTTCCCGGTGCTGGTGCTGCTCCCGGTCCCTCTCACACTCCTGATCCCGCTCCCGCTCCCGGTGCTGCTCCCTGTTGCTGTCCCGGTTCTGCTCCCGGTGCTGATCCCGGTCCCAATCCCAGTCCTGTTCCCCGTTGCTCTCCCGGTTCCGTTCCCGGTGCCGGTGCCCCTCCTGGAGCCACTCCCGGTCCCTGTCGCACTCCTGATCCCGGTGCCGGTCCCGGTGCTGATCCCGGTCCCTGTCCCGATCCCGATCCCGGTCCTGTTCCTCCTGGGACATGCTGGGGGCGGGGCTACGGCGGAATGGGCGGGGCCAATGCGGGAGGGGCGGGGCCAGAGCCGGCCGGTCCCGGTGAGCGCGGGCTCCGGTTGGTGACCGGGCCGAAGCCGCTAGGGGCGGCCAGCCCCGGTGCCGGTGGATCCCGGTGGCTGCGCTTGGTCCCGGTCTGCCCCCGTCGGTCCCGGTGCCGGTGGGGGCAGTCGGTCACTGTCCCTGTCCCTGTACCGGTGGATGTCGGTGCCGGTAGGGGCGGTCTGCCCGTGTCCCGGTGCTGGTTCCTGTCGGTCCCGGTTCCCCGCTCGGTCCCGGTTTCCCGTCGGTCCCGGTTCGGTCCCGGTGTGACCGGGCCGAAGCCGCTAGCGGCGGCCAGCCCCGGTGCCGGTGCCGGTGGATCCCGGTGGCTGCGCTTGGTCCCGGTCTGCCCCAGTCGGTCCCGGTGCCGGTGGGGGCAGTCGGTCACTGTCCCTGTCCCTGTACCGGTGGATGTCGGTGCCGGTAGGGGCGGTCTGCCCGTGTCCCGGTGCCGGTTCCTATTCCTGTTGGTCCCGGTTCCCCGGCTCGGTCCCAGTTTCCCCGCTCGGTCCCGGTTCGGTCCCGATTTCCCGGTTCGGTCCCGGTTCGGTCCCGGTTTCCCGGCTCGGTCTCTGTTCCTGTCGGTCCCGGTTCGGTCCCGGTTCCCCGCTCGGTCCCGGTTCGGTCCCGGTTCGATCCCGGTTCCCCCGTTCGGTCTCTGTTCCTGTCGGTCCCGGTTCGGTCCCGGTTCCCCGCTCGGTCCCGGTTCGGTCCCGGTTCACGGCTCCGTCTCTGTTCCTGTCGGTCCCGGTTCGGTCCCGGTTTCCCCGCTCGGTCCCGGTTCCCGGCTCGGATCCTCCCGACTCCACAGCACCGCCAGGCCACGCCCCTCCCCCGCGCTCTGATTGGTCAACACTACCGGCACGTGCCCTAAAAGCCCCGCCTCCCTCCTCACTTCCGGCGCGCCGCCGCTCCCCATTGGCCGCCGCGAGGGCGGGAGCGCTTTGTACCAAACGCTGTCCGGGCCGCCGCTGGGCGGGGCTTCGCGGACCCTCGACCAATCGCGTCGCACTTTCCGCCGCTCACGGCCAATCATCTCGCTCGGTGGGCGTGGTCTCGCGTGAGGCGGTCACCGCCATTTTGTCGCTGTCACCGAGTATCGGGTGAGGGGGGACGCGGTGAGCCCCGGGGAGCCCCGGGACGGGCACGGGGAGAACGGGAGGGGCTGGGGATGAGCGGGCAGGGAGCCGTGGCCCTGCTGTCTGTGGGGGAGGATGGCACGGGGTCCCGCAGCCTCGGGAAGCCGCCTAGGAGGGAGCTCAGACCCGGGATGGGAGCGGGGTGAGGTCTGGGCCAGACGCGGGTCCCCGTCCATGGGCTGGGGGCTCACGGAGCAAAACCGGGGCGGAGACTCCGCTCGGGACCCTGAAGGTGTTCCGGCTCATTGTGAGGAGCCCGGGCCTGGGGGGTCTCTCCTGAGGGGGGGTCTCTGCTTCAGGGTTCCCTGAGGGCCCCCCCGCCCTTGGGGGTGAGAGGGGCTCCCATCGGGAATCAGCCGGAGGAGGATCTAGGAAAGGTGGGGGGAACCTTCTCCATCCCCTTCCCCTCCCTGGAGCGGCTCCGACCCCTCAGAGGAAGCGGGGGTTGTGCGGGGAGGGTCTCACCGAGCCCCCCTTCCCTGCCACCCCTCAGGCGGGTCGCGGTGGTGAAGCTGTTCATCGCCGCGTCCCCCCGGAGCCGCCGCGTCCCAGCGCCCGCGTGTCCCCCGGCTCCCCTCGCCTCTCTGCTCTCTTCCAGGGGCAGCGGCCTCGGATGGAGCCGCGTCCCCCCCGCCTGGGCCCCCCCTTTTCCAGCAAAATAAACTTTTTCACCGATTTCTGTCAGAATTTCCGTACTTGGGCCGTGCCTGGGGTGAGGGGCGGGGTCTGCGGGAGGCGGGGCCGGTTCTGTCCAATCAGCGCAGCGCCTGCGGCTTTTTTAAAATCCCGCGCGAAATATGCAAATCAGAGTGGTTCGAGAGGGAGGCGGAGCGAATGTAAATCATGGGCGCGAGCGGCCAATCAGGTTGCCGGAAAGGAAAGGAGGAGTCTACGCCAAGAGAGGGGCGTGGTTATGCAAATTTAGCCGCAAGGGGGACCCGACCCCATTTCAGTCGCGGACCGTGGGACTTATTTTCCCGCCCGGAACGTTTTTCACAAATTCGCGTCGCTGTTTCTGCCCGGAACTTGAGTGGCCCTGTGACGTCACTTCCTGCGCGCCGCCGTCTCCGGGGCTACCATGGCGCTGAACGGCGGTGAGGCCCCGGCGGGACCCCCGGGCCCGGAGCCCCCCCGGGACCTCCCCTCACCACCGGGAGTCACCCCGTAACCCCCCACCCGCCACCGGGGCCGCCCCGAGCCCTGAGGATCCTCCCGGTGACACCCCCCCGGTAACCG